AGGAAGAAACAAAACGCCTTCAAGGGGCACAATTACACAAAGTAATTAGAAAGTTGACAATAAAAAATAAAAGAAATTAAACTAAATAATTCTTTGCTTGAGTGTGATTGATTAGGAATCCTTCCTTTTATGTCTTTTTTTTTTTATACTCCTTTGCCAATTTTCCTTGTAAAATCGTTTGGAAACTTTTTGTCGCTCTATAACTATCCACTTGCTTCATAATGGCTGATGTGTCAATGAATCGCCATTTTTAAACTATGACTATTACTCCCATCTTTTAACTGCTTGTAATTGAGATTCTTGGATTGTGAAATGTGATAAGATTGCTTAATAACTGCTTCAATAATCGTCGCTTTAAATAACAACATGATGCTATGTTCGCTCAGATCTTGGGCGTTTCGAAAGCTTAAGCGAGAATGGGACCCATCGCTCTGAGCGACAATAAGGTACTTCATTTGCTCTGATCTTGGGCATCCTGCAGGCTTGGGCGGTGATAGTTCTCCGTTTATGGGCCTCCACTATATTTTACACTGATCTCATTTGGCATATCCCTCAAATTCCATAACTGGGCCCCATTTCTTGGACCATTTAATTGGGCTTCATTTTTGCATGTCAACAATTAGCCCACAATATGGCAAAATTAATATCNAACTGGGCTACATTTTTTTGGACCATTTAATTGTGCCTCATTTTTGTATGCCAACAATTACCTCTTTATATGGCAAAATTAATATCAAGTATTAATCTTATGCCATATTATTCCTTTGTATTTTCTGGTAATGCTTGAATTCTCGAAAAAGGGTGAATAATCTCAATCATTATTTTCATTTGGCGATAACTCTCTACATTCTGAAAAGTGTAACACCACGTAACCCCTATAAACCAAATGACACGCCACTTCATCGTGCTATTATACACACATCTTTGCATCGCGCGCTTACCTTTCCCTATAAAAAGCATTGTTCATCTTCTTGATTCACTGCTACGCTTCTGACAATCTCTTATGAAGATTGTACTTTGCAGCGAATGACAACTCTACAAAGCCCTTCCGACAACTCCCTTAGCTTCGAGGATTTTGAAAACTTCCTCACCAAACCGTATATAAATTCAACTTTTCTTTCACCAGCCGACTCTGGCCTCCATAAATTTTATCTGGGTCCGTCGTTTAAAGATGCTGAATCTATTGGACAAGCGGCGGTAGGTCAGCTATTTCCTTGCACTCAAGACCCTCATTTTCTATTGCATCTTCATCTTGTATGCAATAAATCTCAATTCTTCTCGCCCTCCTTTGTACTACGAACAATATTAATCCATATTCACAAGTAGATTCCAAA